GTGCCTGCCTGGCAAAAACAAAGACCTGAATTCAACCCACAGAACCCATGTAAAAATGCCAGGAATGGTGGCATAGCCTTGTAATCCCAGCACTGGGGAGGCAGAGACAAAGGGGCCCCTAGGACTTGCTCACCATTGTCTAACCTACCTGTTGAACTCCAAGCAAATGATGATGAGAGACCCTGAATCAAAGGACATAGATGGCGTTTCTGAGGATAGTATTCAAAGTTGTCCTCTGGCCTCCATGCGCCTGTACGCACACACACATACACACACACATGTAACTCAACAGCAGCATAGAATTTCCAGTTGATTAGAGGCTGAGCCCTCACTGTTCCTTTGTGATTACAACAGGGCCTCAGCAAAGGGGAAGTGGTTGCCTACAAGTGCAGTTTTTGTTGTTGTCGGTGGTGGTGGGGTGGTGGTGGTGGTGTGTGTGTCTCCCTCCCAAGTGCTGGAATTACAGGTATGTGCCACTATACTCAGTTTATGTGGTACTAGGGATCAAACCTAGGTCTTTGAGTATGCTAGATAAACACTTTACCAACTAAACATACCCCCAGCCCCACAAGAGCACTTATAAGAGCCAAAGTAAGTCAGGCTTGCTGTGATGCAGGATTATAATCTCACCCACTTAGGAGGCTGAAGTAGCAGGACAGAAGTTCAAGACCAGTCTGGGCTATAGAATGAGTTCAAGGCCAGCCTGGGCAACTCAGGCCATCTTGAGAGATAGCTCAGCAGTTAAGAGCACTGACTGCTCTTGCAGAGGACCCGAGTTCGATTCCCAGCACCCACATGGCAGCTATGAACCATCTTTAACTCCAGTTCCAGGGGAATCCGAAGCCCTCTTCTGACCTCCATGGCATTGCACGACACGGGTGCACTCACATACATGCAGGCAATACACTCCTACACATAAAATAAAAAATAAAAAATTTTTTAAAAAGTAAAAAGGGGAGCCTGGAGTGGTGGCACATGACTTTAACCCTAGCACTTGGGAGGCAGAGGCAGAGGCAGAGGCAGGTGGATCTGTGTGAGTTCAAGGCCAACCTGGTCTACATAGTGAGTTCCAGGACAGCTGGGGCTACAGGGAGACCCTGTCTCAAAAAGACCAAAAAAAAAGTAAAAAGAGGAACCAGGCATAGTGGCACACATTTTTAATCCTAGTACTCAGAAAGCAAAGGCAGACAGATCTGTGAGATGGAGACAAATTTGGTCTACATAGTGAGTTCCAGACCAGCTGAAGCTAAAAGGAGATTCTGTCTCAAGACAACAACAATAATGCATGTTAGGGAACTAGACTAAGAGAGATGGCTCAGTGATTAAGAGCATGTACTGCTCTTGCAGAGGACTTCAATTCAGTTCCCAGATGCTTATAACTCCAGCTCCAGGAGAATCCAATGCCTCTGGCTTCCCCAGGACTTGCACACACAGGCACATACCACACATACCCCCCCATTAAAAATAAAATAAAAAATAAATCTCCAAAAATAGTACATGATATACCTTTTTTGGTGTTGGAGATAGAACTCAGGGACCTCACACATGCTCTACCACTAACTTACATCCTAACCCAATATACATAAAATTTTGTATCCTTTTAATTCAGTATTATAAACATTTTATGACATAAAATATTCTTTCTTTCTTTGTTTTATTGAGGTAAATCTCATGATGCAGCCCTGGCTGGCCTGGTACTTATAGGTAGACCAGCTGACCTTAAACTCTCAGCTATCCTCCCACTTCTGCCTTTGCAAGTGCTGGGATTACAGGTGTGTGCCACCCACCTAGCTTAATGTAAAATATTATTAGAAAAATAATTTTTAATACCTTATATATGGCTGTGGCTACTTTAACTATTTTATGGTCTATACCAGATCTAGAGACAACAGAAAAGTTTCAGGACAAGGTCTATTTCTGCCCTTCCCTATTAATTGCAGTAGAGTGCAGGGCACTACCAAGGGTCAGTGTAGAGCCATCTGCATAAAAGCCATTACTGCAGAGTACAGCAAGCAGGGCCTGATCAAAGAAAACACAACAGGGTTTTATTTTGGTCTTTTTGAAAGGGTCTCCCAGTAGCCCCAGCTGGCCTGGAACTCACTATGTAGACCAGGTTGGCTTTGAACTCACAGAGATCCGCCAGCCTCTCCCTCCCAAGTGCTGGGACTACAGGCATGCACCACCATGCCCAGCCCATAATACATATTAACAAATTCTACTAGATTAGAAGAGGCCTGTTCACATGAGTAGCTGTTCACACGAGTAGCCAAGTTCTTTTAAGAACAGTCTTCCTTAATATAGATTTCTCAGATTAGAAATGTCAGATTCCTTCACCTTAATTTATATTCAACATTTCTAAAACAGAGCTATTTTATAAGCAAGGCCTATTAATATGAGATGCCGTACTAGACCCATTCTCACTTGTTCAGTATAAGACAGCTTTTTTTTTTTTTTGGTCTTTTTGAGACAGGGTCTCCCTGTAGCCCCAGTTGTCCTGGAACTCACTATGTAGACCAGGCTGGCCTTCAACTCACAGAGAGGGTCTCCCTGTAGCCCCAGCTGTCCTAGAACTCACTACGTAGACCAGGCTGGCCTTGAACTCACAGGGATCCGCCTG